AAAAGATTTACCCTTCTCAGGGGGAAACTAACCCTTTCCAGGGGGAAACTAACCCGTGCCTGGGGGAGGCTACCCTTACCAGGGGGAATCTAACCCTTACCAGGGGGAGTCAGCCCGTACCTGGGGGAGGCTACCCTTACCAGGCGGGCATCCATGTGGCACCATATGGGGCTGCCCAACCCCGTCCCACACCCCACTGAATGTGGGATGTGGGTTCGTCCTCCGCAATCCGCCTGGCTATCCAAGCCAGTTACCGACTCTCACCACGAGGAGGTAGCGGTTGGACTTGCAATCCAGAGGCTTTCCTCAAAGAGGGGTCCCAAACAGCATAATGTCGAGCTCTAACGGGCGTGTGAGAAAAGCCTCCCTGTTCCTTGTCCCCTAACTGCCCCCTCCTAAGACCCCCCCCCAAATGCCCCCAGGACCCTACCTGTACCCTGACTGCCCAAAACCTTATCCACACCCCCACCCCCAGAAATCCCCTCCTGAACTCCTGACCCCGCCCCCATCTCTTGACTGCCCCCTCCAGAACCTCCCTGCCCCTTCTCTGACCTCCTTGCCCCCTTGTTATTGGCGTTCGCCTAATGTCTCTGAGCTTGCTCAGGAACGGCCTGAGCCGTTCGTTCCGGCACGCTGGGCAGCAGTGGGGGAGGAGCTTCAGACTGCCAGAGGCGATCTGCGAATGCAGGGAGGGAGGGAGGGAGCTCTGCTGCAGGGGAGGCGGAGGACGGGCTCTCTCTGGCTGTCGGAGCCCCATGTAAGTGGCACCATCCGGCCGGCTGCCCTGTTAGCCACGCGCGCTCTGCATGAGGGGGGAAGTCCGGACATTTACAAGTTCCCCCCGGACGCTATTTTTAGCTCAAAAAGCCGGACATGTCTGGGGGAATCCGGACGAATGGTAACCCTAATCCACCCCCCTCGTAGGAGGGTTAAAGTGGGCTATACGAATGGGGGGGTTGGCTCCATGCCATACCAATCACAGAAGTCCCCAACCGTCCCTGTTCACTCCTTTAACAAACACCTCTTTTTAAGTCTTTTTCCAAGCCATTTGTCTGGTCACTGTATACCTTCCCTATGGAGTACCTGCACTGGTCATCCGCCACAAGGATGTTTGGCTGCCCCCAAGACTGCTCTGTGTAAAACAGAGCTTCCGGTGCAGGGCTTCCCCTTTTAAACCCTGCATTCCTAGGGGGTGAGTCAGCAACCACGTCCCCTTTTGCAACAGTTTTCATCTCCACCCCCTCCCTGCCCCCAGACCTAAAGCACTGGTCCCTTCATTCAGCCAGCCAGCCAAATACTCCCCACACTTAAAGGTGGAGGAGGGTCACTCTCTTGTCTTGCTTCTCATAGTCATTAATCTTTAGCCTCAGGGTGGGGGAAGGTCTGGTGCTGATGGTCTTTGTCAGCTTTGGGGGTTTTCCCCTCTCCCTGCTCTGCAGTGAAACACTGAAAAGCCAGGATGCAGGAGAAATAGACATCCCAGGCAGGAGGCAGCAACAGCACAGTGCCTATTATTGGCAAGAGGTTGGAAGAGCAGAGTTTTTCCCCCAGTCACATCCTTGCTCAGTGCAGAGAGCTCAACCTAGCCTGAGAAAACAGGGAGGTGTGTGCACAAAATACTGCATCCCCGGGTACATCTACACTGCACACTCACTCACTGCAACATGTAGAGTGCACATATTGCACACACACCCTATCACAGGTATAAATAATAGCACAGATGGTGAGGCACTGCTTACGTGATCAAAGACATGCCAGAACTTATGGTATATATATATTACATGGGGTCTCTGCATGCTCAAGCAGTGTCTCTCCCATCTAACTGCTATTTTTAGCAGTGTTCATCTCACTGCCTCCCTGCTGCCAGAGCATTTCCCCACTGCACTGGAAGGCTCCAAAAGTGGGTGCTGCCTAGTATTTCCCCGCTACCTCCCCCTGCCAGAGCCTGACACTGACGGATATAGTTACACAACACAGTATGGATGCAGCTGGCTTTTCACTTTGGCATGTAGCTACCCATGCCCCACATGCCAGAGCTGTAACAGTGTAGACATAGCTCCAGTGTCTCCTTCAGTAATGGGAGTGAAAGCAGGGAATACCCTTATGTTTTGATATATTCCAGGCACCCATGATTTGATTCAACAAAAGGAACATGTTCAGTTGTATCCATGATTTTTCTAATTCCACAGCAGTTATCTACATGGCATGCTAATGTAATCATTAAGATCTGTGATCTCTGTTGGACAGGATCTAAACTGTTCAACCCACATTTTTGCAGTGGATAAATGAATTTATTTTCCAGCTCAAGAAACAGAGGCTTGGGTATTTGGAGCATAAGGGCTTGAGTTCATTCCCATTAATTTCCCAGTGACCCTGGCACACATCATGGCCATGGAAGTTACATGTTATCAGAAGAAAAATTTAACACCTGTGAAACTGGTATTTTTAAAGGTGCTTTATATCTCCTTGCGTTATTTGGATGGTATCATAGATTCAGAGCTTTGATAGATACTGAAGACTAAATCCAATCCAAATGCCCCGCAAGAATAACAAAACAGTTAACTGTTAAGTAGTTAAAGTTATTTCCACCCAGCGGTGCAAACTATAGAAATCAAGAAAATAAAAAAGTGAGTTCAACCTTCACACAATATAGTACCAGTCCCCAAGCACTAGTCCCCCACCATCAGGACTCCACCAACCACCACACTAATATCCTGCAACACTATCATGTTAGTTTACAACCAAGACTAGACGGTTAATGACTCTTTTTAAATCAAAAGTTTAGATTCTGAAAATTATGGCAACAGTATTAGTAGACAAACATTTTTTAAAAGATTATCATTGTGTAGAGAGAAACTGATGAGCAATAATGTAAATATATAGAAGCAAAGTGGTCAACTTTCAAAGTCGTTTATTCCTTATAATTTTTACAGTATAGAAAAATCTATTTTTAATCTCAAAAACCACAAATTTACTAGCAGGATCTGAAGAAGGTTACTTACTGTAAATATACTTATAACTCAAAGTATTCATTGGAAAATTGTCCAAAAAGTTATTCTATCCTTGAAGAATAAGTGGTCTATGTGTAGGGAGGATACACTCTATTATTCATACAGAACAATTAATCTCTATTTCAGGCACAAATCTTAACATCTTTAGCTATACAAACTATGCTGCTTCCGTAATAGTCATCATTCACATGTCACCCTCTACTAGCTGCAGTCCACAGATTATACTCCCTAATATTACTATATAAGCATGAAAGTATCATGAGTTACCACTAGTTTTATATGCTGTACAAACTATTTTATACCTTACTATGTGCATCTTGCTTTTATGTAGTGTTTCTCACCCAAAGATGACAAAAAGTGCTTTACAAAGAGAATTAGACTTTATCCTCATTTTAGAGCTAAAGAAACTGAGGCTAGGTCTACACTACCCACGTGAATCGGCGGGTAGAAATCGATCTCTCGGGGATCGAATTATCGCGTCTCGTCGGGACGCGACAATTGATCCCCGAATCGGCGCTCTTACTCCACCAGCGGAGGTGGGAGTAAGCGCTGTCGACGGGGAGCCGCGGAGGTCGATTTTGCCGCCGTCCTCACAGCGGGGTAAGTCAGCTCCGATAGGTCGATTTCAGCGTATCTTAAATTCGACCCCCCCCCCCCCCCGTAGTGAAGACCTGCCCTGAGACACAGAGGAGGTTAAGTGACTTGTCCAAAGTCACCCAAAGAAGCCACTTGCAGGGCAGGAATAGAACCCAGGTGACCTTAGTTTCACTTCAGTTCATAGTCACAGGGAGAGTTCACAGTAAGTCTGTATAATGAAAAATTATTCTTACCCACAAGCCTCTTAGTTTGTGCAGCAAACTCTTTACTCTGTTCAGTCCATCTCTCTTTTTCACCTGCTAGACCACTTATAAGACTGGAGGCTGTTTGCATCTTATGTCTGCAACGTTCTGCATCTTCAAGTAAGGTCTACAGACCACACAAAAAAACACTGATTGGAAGTGGAAGGAAAACCCTACTTTTAATTAAACCCTTAATGGCATAATGACTCACAAATAGTACTTTAATATTTACTGCATTACCATATGCCAAGTATCATAGTTAAGGCTGCGTGTCTGTCATGGAGGTCACAGAAATCAGGGATTCCGTGACTTTCTGTGACCTCTGTGACTTCTGCAGCAGCTGGTACTGGCTCAGGGGCTGCGCACCTGGGCAGCCCCTGGACCAGCATCAGCAGTTTGGATGTGTGGGAGGTAGCTCTGGGCTGGGGCAGGGGGTTGGGTGTGGGGTGGCGCTTACCTGGGGGGGGGCCTCCCTGGCTCCCACCAGCATGTCCCTGCAGCTCGTAGGCAGAGGGGCTAGGGGGTTCCACATATTGCCTGTGCCCGCAGGCTCCGCCCATGAAGCTCCCATTGCCTGCGGTTCCTGGCCAATGGGAGCTGCGGAGCTGGCACTTCTGGCGGAAGCAGCGCACGGAGCCCCCCTGACCACCATTCGCCCTAGGAGCTGCAGGGACACACAGAGACGAGTAGGGAGCCTGCAAGCCCTGCCAACCTTCCCCCGCCCAGCAGCAGCAGGGGGCCTAGGCCATGCACTGCCATCCTCCCCCGTCCCCAGCACCGGCAGAAATCCTGGGCCGCATGCCGTCACCCACATCCCCCCCCAAAACCAGCGGGGGGCCCGGGCAACCCTCCACTCCAGCACCAGCGGCATCCCCAGACTGCCCCCCACCGAGCACCCATGGCCTCCCGGCCCAAGTTTTAGTTAGGGGTATATAGTAAAAGTCATGGACAGGTCACGGGCCATGAATTTTTGTTTACTGCCCATGACCTGTCCATTACTTTTACTAAAAATACCCGTGACTAAAACGTGACCTTAGTCCTAGTGGCCTTAGTCATAGCACGTAAAACTGAAATGCTCCATCACTATGCATTAACTTCAAAGAATGGATGCATATTTGGGCTTGCTCCATACAATTGTATATAAGGGATCAGGGGCACAACAGGACCCATCCTTTCCCATAAACACTGCCACCCAACAACACAGTCAGGACTCTGGGCAGAGGCTACAGCATGCTGCCTAGCCCTGCCCATGGCTCAGACCCCCAGAGATACATCTCACAGGGGGTCACAGAGAACACACACTCACCCCAGTGGCTCCTGGTCCCTTCCCCTAGTGGACAACTCTATGGCATAGGTGCTGTGTGCAGGATCATGCACTCTGGTCACACCTGTGGCGACCCCAACCCAGGATGGAGCTACTGAGTCAAGCTGGATGGTTGAGCTTTCTCTGTGGCTACGACGGCAGCCGAAGCTGCAGCACAGAGCAGCTGGAGCAATACAGACCACAGATCCATCATGGGAACCCCAGGGCTGGAACAGGTGGGAGGAGTCCAGGGCTGAGGAGGACTTAATGAGATGGTCCCTAGAAGGGGAAGATCCTATACCACTGTGCAGTGCGGGGAGCTTCCATCTGTGCCCCTGGGGATAGGGATGCCTCCTATATGTCATTGTGCATGGCATACGAGGGACCAAAGGGGACCCAGTTACTGCCCCCGAGACACTGTCACAAAAATCTATCTCTGAATTAAAATTTCAGGCAGATCTGACAACCTCAGGGAGACTCTCATATGTAATTCCCCCTCCTCCGCATCATGCTTGACCCTAAATACCCAAACCAGCACCCTCTGGCCCTTCATTAGGAAAATTCTGGTTGTGCCCCTTCATGGGAACCTTTGAATTTTGTTTTAATTTTTTTACTGTACACATGTATGTTAAGTGCTGGTGAATGGTGGGTGACATCTGCCAGCCTGGGAGCTTAAAGTCCACAATTTCAAATATCTGTGCACAGAAATATTCACATATTCATGTAACAAATGCAGTGTTCAATGCATGAAGCTTTGTGCTACATACACAGTGGGTTTTAATGAGGCCAGGAAAGTATATAAAAAAAAAAAAAAAAAAGAAGGATGTCCCTGTAGCGGGGTGGCCTTGCTCCCAGGCGCCCCTGGAAGGGAAGAGCCAGAACAGCCGCCAGAGTGGGCGGAGCCACCACCGCCTGTCTCCGCCCTCCAGAAGTCAAGGGGCAGGACAGGAAGTATAAAGGCCAAGCCACAACGCTCAGTAGCGGGCCGGCAGCGGGAGAGGACAGACGCTGGTGCCCGAGCTCCCGTGGGCCTGAGCTGGCCGAGAGCCCGGTATCCAGAGGAGGACTGGCCGAGCCTGCCGAGAGCCCGGTATCCAGAGGAGGACTGGCCGAGCCTGCCGAGAGCCCGGTATCCAGAGGAGGACTGGCCGAGCCTGCCGAGAGCCCGGTATCCAGAGGAGGACTGGCCGAGCCTGCCGAGAGCTCGGTATTCTGAGGAGGACTGGCCGAGCCTGCCGAGAGCCTGGTATCCTGAGGAGCGGTCTGAGCTTCCCCCCGCCGAGGGCCCAGAGGGAGCGACAAACCTACCCGGTGCTCGGGGCCCGGAGGAGCCCATGATCTGGGACATGGTAGACGAGACTCAGGATGGACAGGTACCCATGGAGGAGGAGATAGGAAGTGGCCCGGGGACAGCAGACCCCGAACCCATGTCAATGTGTTGCGGTCAGGATCCCCACTGACTGCGCGGCAGACGGACTTCTGCTGATAGGGCCCCGGGCTGGAACACACTGGAGTGGGTGGGCTTGTGTTCCCCCCTGCCACCCCGCGCTGGGTGGCTGTCTCTCCTCCTCCTTGTCTAAGGGGCCTGGGCCTCTGACAGACTATTTGTTTGCTGCCCCGCCCTGACCTAGGGCCTGGGCTATCACAAACTGACCCAGCCCCTGCTACAAGGCCTGGGCTGCTGATTGACTATTGGGTTGCTGCCCCGCCCTGATCTAGGGCCGGGGCTGCTAATTGTGTGCTCAATCCCTGCCTAAGGGCCTGAGCCCTGAACTGTTAATTGTGTGCTCAATCCCTGCCCAAAGGTCTGAGCCCTAAACTGTTATTAGCTTTGTAGCGGGGCGGCCTGGCTCCCAGGCGCCCCTAGAAGGGACGAGCCCCACCCCGGAACTACTACAGTCCCCAAAAAATTCAAATTTTGTTCCCTAAATTCTCCATTTCAAAGGACAGTAGTGAGTTTGAGGAGATGCACTGTATTTTGTGATTGCATAAATAGTATCAGTGACTAAAGCAGTCAAAGAGTATCTTAATGTAAGGAATACTGCACCTGTTTTTCCCTCATGGCTTTTTCATATTCTGCCTGTACAAAATCTAATTCAGCTTGCTTGTCATCCAACTCTGCTTGGGCTTTCTGCAGATCTAGCATGGCAGTGGCAAGGCGATTCTCCTGGACTGCCAAATTAGCCTACAAAATATACATATGCAAAGCAAATCATACACAGAATGTTTCAAAGCATTTGATATAAAGCACATCTCAATTAAAGCTTCATAGCATTATATTTAAAATCTAAACTGCTCTGTATAATTAAGCTATTACTCAGAATCCTTTCAATTCAATTGTCTGACAGACTGAATTCTGCTACAATTCTCAGCTGCAATTCTGTGATAAAACACTTCGCAGGAGGGGATAAAGCATTTCACTCAGATGACCCTCCACATTTTCTCAGACTACATGTGTACAGAGAACACATTTCTGAATTCAAATATAAACATCCCAGACCTATAGCTATTCCATGCTCAGATCATGTCCTTCTAATTCCTTCTTATTGAGTATCAATCTGTTCTTTGAAAGGCCTCAAAGTATAAAGGAGATAATCAACCATCTCATCTAAAATACAGTACTAACAAGCCAGTACTACAGGTCATGTATAGCCCTAATTTATGATACAAATCCCATACTTATATTAAGAGTTTTGTGAATGTAGATAAAGGGTTGTAGGTAGGCCAGGTCCTTGGCCTTATGGTTTGCCCTGCTCGGTCAGCAGAAAGCAACTGGAAAATGGCCATATAGGGGGTAGCTGGGGATTCCTTTGACATAGAGAGTTATGCAGCTAGCAGAGACAGCTCCACAACAGACACTCCTGGGCCCTCTCAATATAAGAGCAGCATTGAGATAAGACAGCAATGCCTTGCACTCCTGCAACAGCCAACTGGAATCATGGCTCCTAAGAGGCCATTCCTGCTGGTGTTGGTAAAAATTAGCTCTCAAGCTGCTCCAACTTATACTGGCGTCCAAACCAGCACTAAGGAAATGTCCCCAACATTGATATTTTCTTTTACGAAATTCCAGATTTTACTAATTCTGGAGGCATTTGGTTAATTATGATTTACTCAGTTTTGCATGAAGTTTGTGTTTGCACCTACAAGTCTCATTGTTAGATAAATAAATACTTCAACTGTGAGCAAATCCAGGTTTGTTTATGAAAAGGCAGATGTTACTTTCGAAAATTTCTCTCTCAGTACATCTATCTGAGAACAGAAATGGCATGGGCAATTGCCCAGAAAGCACTTCAACTCTGTGGAAATGGCAGTTTGAAGTTTCATATTTATTGTGCAAGTGATTTTCAGATCTAATATGCTTAGTTTATAAACAAAAAAGGAATACATATTTATAACTGCCTGCCCTGTAAACTGCTCCTTGACGCTAGGTTCTTTCCCTCTGCTGCCTCATTACCAGTCATAAAGGTTCTGTAGGCCTAGTTATTCCCTTAGTGCTACCTGTATAGCTCCTTCATTAGTTGCTCTATAGATACACAAGAACTGGATGCAAAGAATCCAGTTCCCTATGCCACACCTGTTCAGTTCTGCAGTGCTTACAGGCGTCAAATGTGGTCAGCACAATTTTTTTCCACCCAAGTGAACAGACATGGCTAAATATATACAGGGAGCAGATTCTGTGAATACGATAGAGCTGTTCTACTTTATTAAAAAGGCACTTAGAGAAAGAGAGCCCAAAAGCCTCAGTTCAACAAAGCATTCAAGCACATGCTTAAAAGCTTTACTAAATCAGGATGGACTTGCGCATATGCTTATTGTTTAAAAATCCACAACTTGCTGGGTGAGCCCTCTTGTGGCATTTTTGATTTTGTGGTGGTGAGTTCCCTTAGTCACATGCTGGAGTTAGTAGTTTGTCTGCCCACTGGGCCAAATCCCACAGTGTTATTTAGGAAAACCTCCCACTGGCTTACCAATACAGACTTACCTTTAAGGGTAACACTTCTTTGTTGATAGAAAAAAATGCAGCCATAGCCTTGGTCCATGAGCAGAGGCCAGAAACATTCCCACACACTCGCTTTGCCGTCTCAATGTTATAGTCTACCATTTCAAAGTAAGGATTCAAAAACTCCACAACTTCTTCGTTGATTGTATCTTTTGGGAATTGCTGGAGACATCATGGAGAGAACAATTTAGCCACACTGTATTACCACACATCAGTCAGCTTCTCCAAAGGTGTTTTAAAAAACTCACCGACAATTTATTTGGCACATCCTAATTTGTGAATGCCCTGTGATTTAAGCAAATAGATAACATAACTACCCCCCAATAGCAAATTATCTGACAATGAGCCCAATCCTACAATCCTTACTTAGGCAAAATTCAGATGGGAAATCAACAGACATTTCCTTTGAGTGAAAACTGTATGATTATGCCCTGTTTTTGTTTCTTCACAATACAATGGGTTGAAAACCCATAACTTTTAAAATGAAATATATAACATATATTTCTTACAACATTTGCTTTGCTGCAGCCATTAGACAATCCATTTTTCTCTTCTATGTTTTTAAAGTACCTGCAGGTTCTGTAAGAAGTTTCCTGCTGTCATCAATTTCAGTGATTCCTGCCACGATGGGATGGTGCAGCTTTTCTCCTGGTCCACTTTCACACTGTTCACTTTTCTCTGGAACAGCAGGAGCACGCAGTCCATAATACGCATGATAAGATGAGGAGGTCGGCCCAGTGTACGGACAGTGGCAATGTCTGCAGGTTTGATTGTCTATGAAATCGAGAGGAAGGAAAGGGATTATCACTGTTGTTGCTGTAGTAAACCATGTTGTCCATCTCAAAGACATGCATATCAAAAAATGATGGACACTTGCATTGAATCCATCCTACAGGCATAGGATCTGTTTGGAAAAATTAATCCAACCTACGTATTCATAGCAAGTTTTTAATTGTTAAATCATGCTCAAGCAGAATAAAACTAGAAAGGTCCAGTTCTGAAAGGTTTTAACTGCTGCCTCTTGTAAGCTACTAAGTAATTTCTGCTCAGCAGCACCAAGTAGGCACTCAGCAATTTACACAAGCAAGCCTGTTCTGAGGGATGAAAAAGAAGAGAAAAAGCTCATTCAATAACTTAAGTTTAGTTACATGACGTAATGCTTTTGTTTGCACATTTTACAAGCAATTATCAGTGTAATAGAAAGGACAAAGGGACCGTAATTTGTGTTAAAGAATTTTACATTTTTAAAAATTATTTATGTAAGACCACAATGTATCTTCTCCACTTAATAGTAGTCTTGTCATTTAAAACTAACAAGTCTTGAAGTTATGACGAATGGGCAGATTGACCAATTAAAGGTCACTTAACAGCTAAGAAACCTGTAAATGAATCAAGTATTGCAGTACACATTTCTCTGTGCTGCTAGCAAAATTCCATTAAATTCTTAGTAAATAATTTAAAATTCTCAAGTCCTTGCAGACCATAATTTGCCAGGTTATTATAATGAGAAAACCAATCTATGCAACAATCACAACTGACAAGGAGTGTTCTCAGACTCAAAGGAAATTGTGGTCTGAAATAATGTTAAAATAATTTTACATACATATTTATTCATATGCTTGTTAGCTCCTGCTTGTGTGTCTTTTTCCCTATTGAAGCTGTCATGTGAGCAGTTATAGCGCAGATGAAGCCAACACAGTTCTTTCTCAGACGGAGAAAACAATGATATCCTCATGGAAAATTGTCATCTGTATTTTACAGAGTATAAGTGTCTATGTAATGTATTTGACACCTTTACCCAGAGTGAAATTTTACATGCATTATTTAAATTTTATATCTCAGATGATATTGGAATTTATTTTACAAAGATTATATTGTCAGTTAGTATTAGTAAAACCAGGATAGCTGCATTAAAAAAATAGCTGTCAAAGAACTAACTCGCTTTGGAGATTTATTTTTGGTCAATCACAGAATAAAACAAGGAACAGGGTATAGGGTAGAAGACAAATATACTGCAGGTAATTGAATTACTGTGCATTAATTCCACTGAGGCCTTCTGATGATACCATAAACTTTGATGGGATAGTTTGAGCAGTTTATGCAGTAATCAAAACTCCTACAAAGCATCCTAGCACCATAATTCTGTTTTGTTTTACATGGTACTGTACCTAATAGCTGGATCTTAGTTACAGATCCATGACTTGTACATGCTATCACTGCATTCCGACTGTCACAGTCACACACTAGATTGCTGTCTTCATCTTCATTAGGCCAGGGAGCAAATATGGATCAAATATGTAAATATTCAAAGCCTTCACATATTAGAATGGAAACCAAACCATTAGAAAGTTCCTAAGTATTTGATTACAGCTTCCTTGGTGCACAGATCTTCTTGGAGAAGTAGTCAAGATAACTTGGAGCCCCATCCCCTTTTACAGAGTTTTTTATTGGGAGGATTTTCTTCAGGGGTATCCCACTTATTTATATCTTTGAGCGTGACCAGAGGCCTATTATTTCACTCTGGTGCAGCATGATTCAGTCATTGCAACCCCAAGTCTTATGATCATTTCTGCTTTAAAAGGGCGCCTTGGAGTTTACGTCTCAAAATGCACTATAGTTTTCTGACATCTTAGTGTGCACAAAAGCCACTACTCTTATGTGAAGAATAGAGAAGGCCTCTCAAATCACCTTTTCATGAAAAATCAGTCCTGCAAGGCCAATATCATCTGAAGGAGGGGTGTATTTGGAGGAATAATGTACCTGAGTGAGAAAGGCATTTGGGGGGAAGGCTGCTCAAGAGTTAAGGAAAGCATCTGAAAGTCTGAATACTTCTCTGACACGAGCCTGCAAACCTAGAGGTTTTCCCATCACTAGTCCATACCTCCCACTCATTGCTTTGCTCTTCAGAGACTCTCATTTCCCGCCCCAACAGCTCTCCACTATTAGATTAACAGGTTTCAACAATGGGAACTGAAGCTATTCTCCATCAAAAGTTCTTTTCTGAATTATTATTTATCACTTTACATACTAGTGTGAATGCCCATTGAATTATACAGTGCAAGATCTAAACCAGTGATTCTCAGACTGAAACTCGGGAGCCACAAGTGGCTCTTCAATGTGTCTTCTGCGGCTCTTGGCAGCACATGATATGAAAACACTGTGTGATTTACTTATTAACCGATCTAAGTTATTAACCAATCAGGATGCTTTTACTATGTTATTAACTAATTGTAGAATATGTGGTCAGTCATTTTGCTGTGACAATAATAGTGAATTAATTCACATGACTGTGGCTCTTTTGGGTAATGTTGATTGCTAATTTGGCTCCTGAACCACTGAGGTCTGAGTATCACTGATCTACACTAAACTAAAGTGGGACTTTCACTCCCAGTGATGCACAATGTAAAGTCATGGGCAGAAACAGACATTACCACTACCAAGAACATACAGAATGAGCTACTCCATTACAGCGTAAACACTTCACAGCAAAGATGTCTTTTGGAGTAGTGTCCAAAGCTGGAGACAAAGGGAACATGGGAAAACTAGTGGCAATAGTGTTTCCAGGTATTGGAGACCTGACAGAAGTAGTCATGAAGAAGGAGCCAAAGGGAGTAGGACAGCAGTAAACTTGGTGCAATATACATAATAGGAGAAAATATAAGACAAGAGAGAAGAGACCTATGTTAGGATGGAATAAAGCAGGTTTGCACTCTAGTCACTGTCTATTCAGCAGTGTTTGAACAAAATATCAGCAGTGGCATTAGCTGGTTACCAGTGTGATATCAAAACCAAGGACTGGAGTCGCTTTTACATATGTGAGTTGCTGCGAGTTTAACATGAAAAATCACAATCAGTATTTAAGTGTTGAAAGCATTCCTTTTGTTGTAGGATTAACTAACTCATGAGCACATTGAGTTTGACCGACATTTATGAGATAAAAGGGAAATGTTTGTCAACTGGTAGGGTATGTGGCTCAACCCACCAGCCTACTGTCTGTGGAGCACATCCTCTGAAAATGGTAGACCTACTTGTCCCTGTCTTTTAATACTGACCTTTAAAGCTGCCTCTGCCTCTTCTAAAGCAGGCTTAGCAGCCTCCAACTTTTCTTCAGCAATGGCTTTATCTGCTGAAATGCTGTCTACAATAGCCTGGGCTTTATCTTTCACTTTCTGTACTTCAGCTTTCACCTTCTCAGCAGCTTGTGCTTTCACAGTGACTTCTTTCAAAACCTAAAAATGGGGAAAAACACAAACAGCAAATATCAAAGAAAATACACTGCTGAAAGAATTTGTTACTGTGTATTAATTTTCAGTGTAAGAATCCATCTGTCTAATTTCATATCCATGAACTATTAGGATATTCAAATAAATATATTACATTCACTATTGTCATGCTATACCACAGATCCCTTTTTAACTCCTAATTGACTCCTCCTTCTTAAATTATTCCTTGTCAATGAGAAAATGAAAGGAAGCACAAGAAGTTAAAGAGCACTGCACGTACAAAGCTATGCCTACCATGTCAGCTTTTTCATTAGCAACCTGAAGCTCCTTTTCTTTAACCTCCAGCTCTGTGCTTAGAGCAGCCACTGATTCAGATGCCTCTTTCAGTTTCTCCAATCCAGTATTCATTCTACAATTTAAAATACAAAGCAAAGAGCATAACAGGTTCCTTAGCAATTTTATGATTCTCCTTTTACAATTATTCTTCTAACAAGATGAATATGAAAGCTACTGCCAAAAATGTTTCATGTCAAGGAAACTGGTACAAAAATTGTCATTGAAGTTTTCCATTATGTAATTTTCCACTATCCTTGTTTATCAGAAATTGGTGTTTCACAGGTTAAACAGGAATTTTCTATCAAGACAATTCAAATCGGGGAGAAACCAATGGAACTCTGCATGCACACAATGACTAAAGATTGCTGAATATTAGGGCTGTTGATTAATTGCCATTAACTCATGCGATTAACTCAAAAAAAAATTATCGCAATTAATCACAGTTTTAATCGCACTGTTTAACAATAGAATATCAATTGAAATTTATTCAATATTTTGGATGTTTTTCTACATTTTCTACAATCTATTTATCATGAAAGTTGAACTTACATTATGTACAAAAAAAATGCATTTAAAAATAGAACAATGTAAAACTTTAGAGCCTACAAGTCTACTCAGTCCTACTTCTTGTTCAGCCAATCGCTAAGACAAACGAGTTTGTTTACATTGACGGGAGATAATGCTGCCCACTTCTTATTTATGTAACCTGAAAGTGAGAATAAGTGTTCGCATGGCATTTTTGTAGACGGCAATGCAAGATATTTACATGCCAGATATGCTAAACATTTGTATGCCCCTTAATGCTTCAGCCACTATTCCAGAGGACATGCTTCCATGCTGATGACGCTCGTTAAAAAAATGTGTTAATTAAATTCGTGATTGAACTCCTTGGGGGAGAATTGTATGTCTCCTGCTCTGTTTTACCCATATTCTGCCATATATTTCATGTTATAGCAGTCTTGGATGATGACTAAGCACATGTTCATTTTAAGAACACTTTCATGTACATTTGACAAAACGGAAAGAAGGTACCAATTGGAGATTTCTAAAGATAGCTACAGTACTCGACACAAGGTTTAAGAATCTGAAGTGCCTTCCAAAATCTGAGAGGGACGAGGTGTGGAGCATGCTTTCAGAAGTCTTAAAAGAGCAACACTCTGATGCAGAAACTACAGAACCCGAACCACCAAAAAAGAAGATCAACCTTCTGGTGGTGGTATCTGACTCAGATGATGAAAATGAATATGCATCAAGCCGCACTGCTTTGGATTGTTATCAAGCAGAACCCGTCATCAGCATGGACGCATGTCCTTCGGAATGGTGGTTGAAGCATGAAGGGACATATGAATCTTTAGAGTATCTGGCATGTAAATATCTTGTGACGCCGGCTATGACAGTGCCATGAGAACACCTGTTCTCACTTTCAGGTAACATTGTAAACAAGAAGCGGGCAGCATTATCTCCTGCAAATGTAAACAAACTTGTTTGTCTGAGCGATTAGCTGAACAAGAAGTGAGACTGAGTGGACTCATAGGCTTTAAAGTTTTACATTGTTTTATTTTTGAATGCAGTTATTTTTTGTACATAATTCTTCATTTGTAAGTTCAACTTTCATGATAAAGAGATTGCACTACAGTACTCATATTAGGCAAATTGAAAAATACTATTTCTTTTGGTTTTGACAGTGTGAATATTTGTAATTAAAAATAAACAAAGTGAGCACTGTACACTTTGTACTTTGTGTTGTAATTGAAATTAATATATTTGAAAATGTAGAAAACATCCAAAACTATTTAAATAAATGGTACTCTATTATTGTTTAACAATGCGATTACTCACTCAATTAATTGTGATTATGTTTTTTAATCGCTTGACAGCGATCATTGTTGGGCTCAAGACCAGAGAGTGAACAGTAGATAACCATGTAAGGGAACACATGGCCTGTAAAAGGTGCTTTCCCCATTTTTAACTAAAAGCTTCTCTCTACAGTAATTCTTGAAACTGTGAAACTAACAATTACTTTACAGGGAAGTCAGTTAACCATAGCATCCATTTCTGATTTGTGGTTCACCCAAACAAGTCTGATTTTCAGAGGGTAGGAAGCATTTTCCAATAATTGGGATCCTTAGAAACATCTCACAATGAGACACTAAAAAATTAAGGCACTGAATCACTGGGCATTTGTTCTGGCTAGAGTTTCAAAAGTACCTTGATCCTGTAACTTGAATCATGTGACACCAAATTAATTAATGAAACATTTAATTTCTAGGTGGAAAAGCCTACATGAACAAATATTAGAAGGTAATGCCCAACCAAAGTGAGTCAAAGAATGGAATGGCTGTAGAGCAGGCTGGGAAAATTCATAGACTTTAAGGCAGAAGGAACCAATAGATCATCTAGTCTGACTTCCTGTATAACACATTTCACAGTTACTCTTGTCCTGAGCCCAATTACATGGCTAATGCACATGTTCCAATCTTGACCTGAAGATGTTAAGAAATAGAGAATTCCCTACTTCGCTTGGTTAATCACCCTTTCTGTTAAAAATGTGTGCATTATTTTTAAATTGAATTTGTCTGGCTTCAGCTTCCACGCAATGGTTCTTGTTATGCCTTTCTCCACTAGATTAAAGAGCCCTTTAGAACACAGCATTTTCTTCCCATGAAGGTCATCAAGTCACCTCTCAATTTTCTTTTTGAAAAACTAAACAGATGGAGCTCATTATGTCGCTCTGTAAGGCATTTTCTCCAGCCCCTAAATCACTTTTGTGACTCTTTTCTCAACTCTCTCCAATTTCTCAGCCTCCTTTTTAAATGAGGACACCAGAACTGTACTCAGTATTCCAGTACTGGTCTCACCAATGCCATATATGCCATAATGCAGAGGTAAAAATCATCTCCCTACTCCTATTCACAACTTCCCTTTTTATATATATAAGGATCTTGTCAGCCCTTTGACAAGCCATTAGACATCATAGAGGACAAACAACTCAACATGAGCTCCCAGTGCAATGATGTGACAAAGTCGCTGCTCTTTTGGCAAGCTGAAAATGCTAGGTTTCTTGCCTGCTGGACGGGAAGATACAGGAAGGCTTAGGCAGCATGAATCACCAGACACAGCAGCACAGAGCTGCCAGTCAGAGGACAGGGTGGCTGCTGGGACTGAAGCAAAGAACTTTGATACTTCAGATATAAGAAAAGGAGAGGATGAGTAGAGCAATAGAATGGAGCTGCCAGGTCGACAGCAGGCTAGGGACCTAGATGTTGACAACCACTAAAGCCAAGCCTTGGAAGATGTGCACTGATCTGAGATCTGTGGTGGCTGGGAAGGTCAGAGATTTGGTCTGGCCTTGTGGTTTTAAAAGACCCTAACCATTACCAGAAAGGCAAGATGATGGATTCATCTGGCACCCAAGCCACAGTATGCACTGTAGTAAAGTAAGCTACAGTCTGATTCCTTGCTGAAGGTGTCCAATACTGGTTTCAATTTATTTAATTGCAAATTGTAGACTGGTGCTGCAGGGGCCAAGCAATTTAATTTACACACCATTCCTTGATTTACACACTATTTTAAACATATTTAAATATGAACTGTAGAGACTTGGAAGATTTAAAAAATATATTTGAAAATTATCTGGATCATATCAAACCACCTTGTTGGGTTTTCTTGAGTAGAAGGTCCATCATCCTGAATCTGCAGAGGATATACTGAGGCCAGGGCCGGCTCCAGGCACCAGCCCACCAAGCATGTGCTTGGGGTGGCGCCTGAAGGGGGGCAGCATGGTGGGGCGCTCTGTCCCGAGAGCGGGGCCGCGACTGGGCTCGCCGCCCTCCCCGTGGTGCTCCAGCCGCCGGGGAGAGTGGAGCCGCAGCGGGCTCGCCACCCTCCCACCGGCGCTCTGGCTGCCAGGGGCTCTCCGCCCTTCTCCCGGCGCTCTGGCCGCCGGGGAGAACGGAGAGCCCCGGCCGGGCTCTCCGCCCTCCCCCCGGCGCTCTGGCCAGTTGGGGATTGCGGGCCCACGGCCGGGCTCAGCGCTCTCCCTTGCTGCGCTGCGGGGGGCGGGTGGCTTTTTTGCCTAGGGCGGCAAAAAAGCCAGAGCTGGCCCTGACTGAGGCTCTTGGGCCATGAAAGCAGAAAGCATGCATCAGAGGAATGAGAGATGCGCTCCAGAATTCACAGAAAGGTTAATACCCATCTGTTTCACATAAAACAAGATGAGATTTTAACAAGAAAGCACCCTTCTGATAAGCTAGATGTTCTTTTGAGTGTAAAATCATACCACATGTACGTGTTCCATTGCTCATGTGAAAAATATGGAAGTAAGAGTTTACTGTGCAAAGTGATGTCATTTATGACTGAATTGCTTTGAAAAACAAACTAAGATTCACATGTTTATTTACCTGTTAAGTACCACTTACATTATTTCATTGTTATAGATTTAAATACTCTAGCTTGTAGGCCAAAAAATGGCACTAATATTGGATCAAATATATTAATACCCATAAAATGAAAAACCTGAGAGGCAAATTCAAATCCAACATCAGTGTTTTCTTTATAAAGTGATCAGAATCATCAATTGAGATCACCACTGATTGTCATGAGCTGTTCTGTACCCATTTGGGGGAGAGAAAAAAAGGAAAAGGAACAAATAAGGCATTTTACCTATTGGCCAATGACTTCACCTCAGCATGCTTTTCTTTGTAGGTAGCTTTATATCCCTGAATAAAGGATAGGTAGGATTTTGGAGTCACATGTGTAGAACGTCTATATCTCTGGAAGTAGTCAACACACTTCTCTGCTACCCCATCCTGGAAGGAGCCCATACATTGCACCACCTCCTTCTTGGTTTCAGTGGTGCAGTCAATTTCATATGAGGATAGGAAGTGTTCAGATACTATAGAGAAAGGAAAAAAAGGTTGTGAACTAACCCATTTAAATTAGTTTCTTACATGTAAATATTGAAGAAAACTTCTACGACAGCATGCAGTGTGTCAGCAACATCATGGAGAAGCGTTTTACCTAATTTACCTATCAGGTCTCAAAAAGCCACTGAACTCAACATCATTTTCTGGAGTGCATGTGGACTGAACAAGTGGCATATTTTTAAATAGCTTTTTATTTATATGGGTCCATATGCAAACACACATTATACTATCTTCATCAGAATGCTGAATAGATCAGGCAACACTTGTTGGCTAAAGACATCTGCAAGTAGATTCTCCACAAAGGGTTCTGGCTATCTGATACACAGCATATTATTCTCTTCTGCACATCTGCCTGGAACTCTAGATATTAAGAGCCAACAAATCTGTTTTAAAGCTGTGAACCAGGAGGGGCTTTCACAGAAATGTTTCAATTTACTTGAAACAAAACTTTTTTCAGATTCTTTGTTGTGATTTAGCCATTTTTCACCCTTTGTGGTTTTTTTAATTGATCAAATTTGAAAATGAAATGCCATTTTGAAATAAAAAGTCAAGTCAAATGAAACGTTTCAAAGATGTTGAAACAAAAAATGTCAACTTTTCAGGGTTTGGGGTTTTGGGGGGGTTTCTTTTTGGTTGAAACTATTTGTCAAATTCAACCTGAATTCACAAATAGTTTTGGAGCCCCCAAAAATGCATGTTTCAGCAAAAAATATATTAGCTGAAAAAGTTTTGCCAAACTCTAGTTGAGAGCCTGCAATGCTATCTGTTTAGCACTACATTCTAAAAACAAACTAAACAATTGGGGGAAGTTATATGGTAAACACTGATGTGATACCTCAGCTTTCCAAAATACTTAGGAAGTTTATTTGTGTGAGAGGTTGATCACTGACAATTAAGCTCCCCAGATGGCCTGGCTAAGCCGCTACAGGTTATGTGGTGATATTTTGCTTATCATCAAGTCCTGTGGCCACTAAATAAAGCTTCATTCTACTGACACTACCCTCAGAAACCACTATTGAAGCTAGTGGCCGTTGCTAATAGGGAGACACGCCTGGTCACTAGAGTTGGTCGTCTCAATACTTATTCATTTCACATAGGCATTTGAGCAGCCAATAGAACATAAGAGCTCTTAGGCCTTGGCTACACTTACCCGCTAGTTCGGCAGCTGGCAATCGAACTTCTGGGTTCGACTTATCGCGTCTAGTCTGGACGCGATAAGTCGAACCCGGAAGTGCTC